CAAGTCCCGGCCGAGGTAATATTTTTCGCAATAAATTTATTTAAGGTTTTCAGCACATTGTCAATTTAATTTAACTTGTGATATTATTGCAGTAGTGTAATTGCGTTAGATAAATTCCGGAAAAATTTCAGCGCGTAGTTTGAATAACTACAAAAATATGATATATATGCATGTACATGTATAGGATATAGATAATTCACAAGGAATTATTTAGGCAAAAAAAAAAGATCTAGCTTTGACCGTCATAGACCTGAATACGCTTATACTTAGTGTTTATGTGAAATATTGTTCTCATATGAATTCTACATTTAATTATGGTAAAATTGATAGCATCTTGATGGCATCATTTTGTTATACATATAGCATATATAGCGATCATTGTTTGGCATATGTTGCCGTAATGTTGCTGTAAACATGTTGCAGATAGCATGATAATAACAAGTCGTCTTCAAATTGCTGTTTTTAGGATTATAATTCTATTGAATTCAATATAACAAATATAATTCTGTTTCACTTTGTCCCGAATTTATTGAAATTAATTGTTGCAACGATTTTCGGGAACATATCAGCAAATTCGCTATACTTTGACTATCTTTGATTATCTGGGATAGTATCACATCATAGACATATGATTGGAAATATTACGATTAATATTGTGACACTTTTATTTTACTAATTATATTAATAAGAACAGTCTTGGGTAAGTGCAACTATTATATTGAGTCTTGCTTTAATTGGCAATATATAACTATAAGAACAATTTCGCCAAACTTTCATTAACCTTTTTATTTTTAATTGTTCATTTCGAAAGTCTATTGGAGGTTAAGCGTCCCTTTCCCTTTACATTAATAATTATAATGTGGGGTCTACAAAAAAAGTCGCAGCGGTCGTAGAGTCTTAAGTTGTAGAAAATTAATTAATCACAATCGAATATGAGAAGAATAATCGACTATGTTTAGTCAATTTTCTACGTCTTAAGGTCTGAATACAAGTATTGTCGTAACACTTACTTAGACTTAAGTTGTAGACGTAAGTAACGCACAAACTTTCACGTATAATATATAACTTATTGTCGTATCTCCAAGAAGCGGCAATAAGTCTTACGTCATACGCCAAAGCTCGATGGTCTAATGGCGTCCTAGACGCTTGTACAGAATACAAGAGATCCGGGTTCAAGTCCCGGCCGAGGTAATATTTTTCGCAATAAATTTATTAACGATTTCAACATATTTACACCTTTATAATATGATGCTTGATGATAGTTTGGGGGTCGTGGTGCTTTCGATTCTTTGTTCTTAGTCTCTTCTTTCGAGCAGAAGGGTCCCCAAATATACATATAACAACGTGTTCAACTTTATAAAAAAAATATAATTTATTCAACTCCAAAAAAAAAAACGAAAATACGTAATAAATATATATACTAATCGCGCGAGTTAATGTGTTCGTCGTCGATATGACTACCTATTATTCTGACTTACATTGTTCGCACAATCGAGCAAATACTTGCTATTTCGTCGCGTGATACCGAGAAATATGAGTCACTTCTTCCCGTTACCCGGCACGTCTGTCTCATAACGCATCAGCTGATCGACTCCTTGTTCTTTCTCTCGAACCTCTCTCGGTCGCCGGTAATTTCTCTCTCTCGACTTTTCTCGTAGCTTCTATGCCTCGTCAATATTATTTCCTCTGTATGTTTACCGCGCGTCTTTGCTATTACTTGCGACTTTTAAATATTAACGGATCGTTTATTCTCAGTTAAATTTAATTACATATATAACACTTCTTAATAACAATAAAACCTATTTATGTTTTCGCTCCTGTCTATTATTGTCGGGGCCCTTACTTCTGTAAGCTAAAACCAACGCTTATTTAAATCTCGCCAGTTTACAAAAGATATCCGCATTCTTTTTGCTCAGACGCTCGCTTACAACGGCTCCTCCCGCCGTGTATATCGAGCCTCTATACTTGTATATGTTTTCTTTATGGTTCTCGCGAACCTTGGCCTTTTGTGGCGATGTAATCGCTACAATAGCATTAAAAATTATTAAATTGCTTGTCAATTTAATTCGCGATTACTAGAGTAGTTTTAATTGCGTTTACAGTCCGGAAAAACAATTCGGCGCGCAGTTTGAAAAGATATTATTAGCTGTTAAACTTAATATCTGCCGTTTTTCGTCTCCAAAATTGATTTGTTTCGAAGGGAAATACCTTAATCAAAGTATTATTAATAAAGTATTATTAATTAGTAATAAAGTAGAAAATGGAGGAAATTACTTTGATTAAGGTATTCATTCATCTTCCCTTCGAAATAAATCAATTTTGAAGACGAAAAACGGCAGGAATTAAGTTTAACACCTAATAATATGGTATATACACAAGTACATATATTGTGTATATTAGTAATTCAAGATTAAATTATTATTTGAAGCAATTAAGATCCAGCTTCGACCGTAATAGACACTTTTAAATTTCTAATTTTGCTAATTTATATATTGACAATTCTTGTACTCAGACCCTTAAGTTCCTACGACCGCTATAACTTCTATTGTAGACTCCGCATAAAATTATAAATAATTAAAATAATAACAGGTCAACAATACCAAACAGGTAAGAAATACCAACCTGTTGTGTACGATAACAATGATCAAAAGGGATAATCAAAGGCTGTCACCAACTATCTACAAAAATAAAGAAGTGTTTTGTAGGATATCGTATAACCCAATGGGGAAAAAATGTTTAAGAAAACGATTTTTGAAGACATCAAAAAAATGTTTTTAAAAATGTTTAAAATAACGAAAAAAGTCCCCTTTTTTTCATTAAAAAAACGTTAATTCAAACGTTAAAAAAAAATATTTGCTAATGCTAAAAAACATTTTTTTTTAATATTTCAAGGAAATGTTCTTTTAATGTAAAAAAAACCGCTTTTTTAAGATTTAACAAAAATGATTCTGTAATGATAAAAGTAACGTTTAAAATAACAAGAAAAGTCCCTTTTTTTTCATTAAAAAAACGTTTATTCAAATGTTTAAATAACGTTTTTTAATATTAGAAAAACGTTTTTTTAATGTTAAAATTATTTGAACAAAATTAGAAAAAATTAGCCAAAAAACATTAACTTTAATATTTAAATTACATACATATGTTTCGACACCATTTGTATCATTTTCAAAGTACAACAATAATAAATTTAGTTATGAACGATTTACATATTAATAGTTGAACGATTTTTTTAACATTAACTTTACTATGCTTTCCTTCGAACCATCGCTCTTATATATATTAGTCGCCAAAGGTAGTAGGCCAATCGTCATATAATTTAGCAATCATTTATGTGAAGTAATGGATATTATCAGAATATATAAATCTTAAATTAAGTCATCCTGTTTATTACAATAGGTGTCAATTCAAACGCAGTCAATTCTCTTCAAACGCTTACACATTTTTATATAATCAAGCACATGTGAACGAGTTAAAAGATGGTTTTAATAACTTTTTGACTTAGAAATTCTAACTCGTTCGCATGTGCCTGATTATATAAAAATGTGTAAACGTTTGAAGAGAATTAACTGCGTTTGAATTGACACCTATTGTAATAAATAGGATGACTTAATTTAAGATTTATATATTCTGATAATTTCCACTTCACATAAATGATTGCTAAATTATATGACGCTAGGCCTACCACTTTTGGCGAATAATATATATAAGAGGGATAGTCCGAAGGAAAGCATAGTAAAGTTAATGTTAAAAAATCGTTTAACTATTAATATGTAAATCGTTCATAACTAAAAGAGGGAGTGTAAAAATGGTCAAAATTGGCCCTGAATGGACACCTTTAAAACCTATGCAGTTGTCATTTTGGAAGTTTGTAGATTCATGAAAAAATGCTTATTTATCGAGGAAATCTTGGAAAACCTTCAAAAAATAATAAAATAGGTCGTTTAAACGCTCTACAAAGAAATTCATTTTGTTCCTAATAAACGATAGATTTCAAAATTAATGGTTCGTTTACATCTAACATAAGTTGGATCATAAAATACTATAAGAATACTAGAAAGATCTACATATCCAGGGTCTTCAAAAAGTCTGGAAACGCTAAAATATCTCGAAAACGATCAACTCTAGTATAAAATATATAAAAGCAAAAATTCTAAAATTGGTTCTATAGTATTATTAGTTTTTTTCTCTTAATCACTTTAATAGGCGAACTTCCATAAGCGCTGACCATCTTTAATAGTTATCTCGTCGGTGGTATAGGGAAGGCTCACTCCAGTATGTATTGATTTTTTTTATTATATATGAACATAAAAGAGGGGATACAGCCATGAGGGACAAGCCTATCAGGCTGGTCCTATAAAACTTAATAACTACCACGAAGCTTAGGACTAATATACATTGCAAGGTAGAGTGTAAGTCTCTTCTCAAAATCACAGGCGATACCTCCAGTATGTATAGAGCTCACTGATTGCGTATAATATCTTCTGCAGAAATATAAATCTTAACAGAAATACAGATGTTTTTATATATGAGAGTAGGCAATAAATGCTTTGCATATAACATAAAATTAATATTATTCGAAAAGTATAAAAATAAAAAAAAACAAGATAATTCGCATAAATATGTAAGGAACGATAATTCTTAATAATTAAAAATGATGTGTCTTTTAATAATTAATTTTTTACACATAGAATTAGATTCACCAAATAATTTCAAACAGAAATTTGAAATGCAAAACGATACAAGTATAAATAGCGCAATACAAAAAAAGTCCACATGGCAACAACAAAAGATATTATTTTTACGAGCTTTAATCTGCATAAAACGAGATAGCGTGAGTACAAATTTTCGAAAGTAATAGGCGAACACAGCTGTCTTGAAGCAGCGGCAGGTTTGACGAAATTGGATCCACCCAAATTCAACGAAGAGTTTTCAGAAATGACCTCTAGAATCCGAATATCAAAAGCCCGAAATCGTACCTGATCCTATTTTCGATATATATGTACATATAGATATATATTCAATAAACTGCTCATATACAATAATCATATAAATAAATTTCGTTTAGTTCTGTATATAAACCACATTTAGCGTAACCCAGAACCAACGACGTAGACGTAGTGGTTATTTGGTCCCTTTTTTGTCTTTATAATTATTTTTTTTTGTTGATTTTTGTGTGTTTATTGTTTTTTTTGTTTTGTTTTTTACGATGTAATTTTAATTATTGAAGTGATACAAATACCGTTTGAATTCAGAATTTCTATTACATATTAAGAGATGAGAATTCTACCACAGCTTTAAAAAGTCTCTCTATATATAATTCATCTCCAATCGTATTCATCTTATATCTATTCCAAGTTTGGGAGAATTCGTGGTGCAGTGATTCCCCACTTTGCTCGGACCAATATCCCAACCCGTTATTATGATCTATGAATTGAAGACATTCTTTAACGTGGGCTTTTAAAACATGGATTTTTAAGGTCACGGAGACGCCTTCAATTGCGTTTAAAGCATCTAAAGCTTTGTTTAGCTCGTCTAAATAAATATCTAGTTCTCTTCCTACTTTACCAGATGTAAAACAACAATCGACAACTTTATTCATGATCGTGAAAGCATTAAAGTAAGGTATGAGTTTTAAATACCCCACTTTTTCATAAATCGCAGGGTCTTTTAGCTTATGAGCTTCCTTCAATAGCTGTCTACATGCGTTTCCTTCGAAACAATCTCCATGGTAGTTTTTAGAAATGAGTTTCAATCTTGTTGGCCATATTAAAGCTTTATCTTTTCCCAAAAGGGGTACTAAACCCTTCCAAAAAAGATGGTTTACAAAACCCATATGTGTTAATGGGTTTTGTAAACCATCTTTTTTGGAAGAGTTTAGTACCCCTTTTGGGAAAAGATAAAGCTTTAATATGGCCAACAAGATTGAAACTCATTTCTAAAAACTACCATGGAGATTGTTTCGAAGGAAACGCATGTAGACAGCTATTGAAGGAAGCTCATAAGCTAAAAGACCCTGCGATTTATGAAAAAATGGGGTATTTAAAACTCATACCTTACTTTAATGCTTTCACGATCATGAATAAAGTTGTCGATTGTTGTTTTACATCTGGTAAAGTAGGAAGAGAACTAGATATTTATTTAGACGAGCTAAACAAAGCTTTAGATGCTTTAAACGCAATTGAAGGCGTCTCCGTGACCTTAAAAATCCATGTTTTAAAAGCCCACGTTAAAGAATGTCTTCAATTCATAGATCATAATAACGGGTTGGGATATTGGTCCGAGCAAAGTGGGGAATCACTGCACCACGAATTCTCCCAAACTTGGAATAGATATAAGATGAATACGATTGGAGATGAATTATATATAGAGAGACTTTTTAAAGCTGTGGTAGAATTCTCATCTCTTAATATGTAATAGAAATTCTGAATTCAAACGGTATTTGTATCACTTCAATAATTAAAATTACATTGTAAAAAACAAAACAAAAAAAACAATAAACACACAAAAATCAACAAAAAAAATAATTATAAAGACAAAAAAAGGGACCAAATAACCACTACGTCTACGTCGTTGGTTCTGGGTTACGCTAAATGTGGTTTATATACAGAACTAAACAAAATTTATTTATATGATTATTGTATATGAGCAGTTTATTGAATATATATCTATATGTACATATATATCGAAAATAGGATCAGGTACGATTTCGGGCTTTTGATATTCGGATTCTAGAGGTCATTTCTGAAAACTCTTCGTTGAATTTGGGTGGATCCAATTTCGTCAAACCTGCCGCTACTTCAAGACAGCTGTGCGAACAGTTCGCTTGTCAAAATCAAAATATGTTATTGTTTTAATTAATCTTTCAGGTTTTGACAAAACTAAGATTGGCGGTGCACGTTGTAATCGCGCTATTATTAGGAGCACTTTTCTATAATTTTGGTAATGATGCAGGAAAAGTGTACAGTAACATTTCCTGCTTATTTTTTTATCCTTTTTTTTTATTCTTCGCAAATCTCATACCATTTATTCATATATGTAAGTAAAATACATCTTTTACATATATAAATGTAACATAATACAAAATTTATGTAATTATGTCGGCAAATAACTGAATTATACATTACTATCTACAATCTTTTTGATAATTTTAAGAAATTGATAAGATCTCTTTGACAATATTCTTAACTTATCTTGTTTAAAATTGTAATAAATATGTAAATATTTTGTGAATTTATAAATAATTACATCATGGGTCATTTCCCTGCCCATTTAAATTTTTGAGATAAAATTCTTTAAAAGAACTTAAAATTTTCTTTGAAATGTCTATCTTTCGATGCGTTTTAGAAAATTTAAAATGGCGGACACAAAATAATAGTTAAAATGAAAAAAAATATTGAAAAAATTAATGATATTGTGAATAAATGTGCACGATGTGATGTAGAGGTCTGATCTGTGTGTACGTGCGTGCGTGCGTACATGCCGTGCCGTGTATTGACTTTACAACTTCGATTGCTAATAATTATCATTAAAACTCTTGAGAAGCTAAAAAGTATAAAGACGCTCGCGTTAATGTAAAAACAATCATCAAATATTAACAAGGTCAATGATCGAGTCAAAGACATCGGTTGACACAAATTTAAATAATTATTAACAAAAATAAATCATCATACAAAAATATATTGAAAATAAAAAGAATTAAATATGAAAATTGAATATAATTATGTTTCGAGTCTACGTATCGGAGGTCTTAAATAGCTCTTGAGCTATCCAGAACTACCAACAGAACTGACAGAATTGCCAAAAATTTTTCACCCTTTGTACGTTAAAAATTTGTCATATAAAAATTATTCTCACTACACGTACTCTGTTTTTGTTTCTACACGGAAAAAAAACGCTATGATTATCACAATCGGAAATAATTTTTGCTCGTTAGTACATTTGATTGTAATAACCGTAAAATGACGTGAGTAAAATGGACGTGAGCAGCCATAACTGTTGTTAGTGGAAGGCATGTTCCTTTTTGCGTTAAGTGGAACACTGTTCTATCTTTGATAGAGGTATATGCCTCGTTGTCTTGTGACCATACACGAAGATAATGGACGTATAAAATGAATGTCGTAGTTTGTACTAAAATGTGATGCTTTAATGCTCTTTTGCACAATATTACACATTACACGGTAACTAACGTAACTGATTTCGACTGATTTTATTTGATGTTCAATCGGATCGACTGACATGCATTTTCCCGTGCTTATTATTACCCAGGATAGACGTGACGGGGCTTTCATCCCTTTGGGGTGCTTGATAAATGTGAATCCCTTTGCTTTTTACGTTTGAGGTGCTTGATTTACATGAGTCCCCTTTTGCCTCTCACGTTGGGGTGCTTAATTTATGTGAGTTCCCTTTTGCCTTTCACGTAAGGGGTGCTTAATTTACGTGAGTTCCTTACTTTTCACGTTTGAGGTACTTGTGCACATTGTGTACGTTTATTCGTGACATCATTTTTTTCCAATGTCTTTTTTTATTTCCATTTTAGGTTCACCATTTTGAATTCTCAAAAACGCCATACATAAAAAAATATACATTTTAAGGAAAATTTTAAGCCTTTTTAAAGAATTTTATTTCAAAAATTAAAATGGGAGATCGATCTGACAGAGAATGCCCCATATACAGGGTGATCCAAACGAACCGCAGGAGCCGGCATGTATGTATTCCTCATAAAAAACTGGGTCGAAAATGTTAATATCAAAATGTTGAGGTGTCGATAGTTTTTGAATGGTGAGCCTTTGAAACTGTCCAACCACAGCGTGTAAAGTTCGCGCCGTCAGGCACGGCAGAATCAAGCGGATGGCTGTAATCGCGCTTTGACGGATATCGCTAAATGTCATGATGCTGAATGAGTATTGAAAAGGATCCATGAAATCTCTATTAACGTCTACTGCCGTATTCTTAAATTAAATTTAATTGACGACGAGTAATTTCAATTGGAAATTCGATAAAACATTATTAAAAAGTATGTGTTTTTGACATATACATTTTAAATAATAAACAATTATTAATAAATTAAATCAATATTAATTCAATCATTCAAACAAATAATATTAAAAATATCAGTTAACAAATATTTCCAAAACTTCTTTTTAAATAGTTCTATCATAAACAATATTAGAAAAAATTTAATAATAATAAAATTACATTTTAATGTATTTTTAGTAACAATACAGCTTATTATTTGTTTACTTCGATTCCTTCATTGTAATACTTTTCTTTCTTCTCATATCGTAATTCGGAATTTCGTTCATTTCATTTCATAAATATGAAATATTTATTTATATCAAATGCGAATTTCAAATGTAAAATTTTCTAATATTGTTTATGACCGAACTATTTGAAAAGAAGTTTTGGAAATGTTTGTTGACTGACGTTTTTAATATTATTTGTTTGGATAATTTAATTAATATTGATTTAATTTATTAATATTTGTTTGTAACGATACAAAACCTAGATGTATACTGCTCCGAGCAAAGGTACCAGCCGGACACTGCTGCGACAATCGCCGAAGACGCGATACCTTAGTAATACGCGAATAACGTGTATGTTACAGCAGTTCCGCCGTTGACGAAATCGACTGATTACCGCCGAAGGGATATTTCTACCGCTTGTATTGTTCATTAGCGAGAATTGCTGAGCGACTCCGGAACAATACGAGCGGGAATAACAATTCGTATATATAAACGCGCAGAATATGTTAAAAAGCCTGTCCGTTTCCAGTACCGATTCAGTTCCTAACCGATCCGATTCCTGGTACCGATCTGATTCTACGACCTAGTGGTAGAGCGTTCTCTGTCACTGTCGAGCATTCTCGACAAGAACCAATCGGACATTCCTGGGCTCAGTTGCAACGACGGGAAGGAGCGTACTCCGTCCCGCCAAGCGTTCTCGGCCATCGGTCGGTAGTCACCGCACCCTTGCCGTGCACCTGCTATAACCAGTGGTAGAGTGTTCTCTGCCACTGTCGAGCGTTCTCGACCGTCGAGCACACCTTCCTCTTTCCGTACGGCCTCGACAATATCAAGGGGATAGAGTTTTCTCTGTTTCCACCGAGGTTTCTCGGCCGTCGAGCGCCGCCAACACGACTCCGCGAACGTAGCTTTACGCGCTAGCATCCCGCGCCCGCGACCGCGACCGCGACCGCGATTCGTTACCAGCGTATCCCGCGATACCCGCGCTCTCCAAGCAGCGACACACCTGTCGCGCCGCTGCTTACCTTCGCCCGAAATCGCGATACAGCGATACCGCGTACAGAAAAACCTGTCTACGGAATTCGCTTTGCCAGACAGCATTTCGCGACAACCGACGAGCGTCAATATTTGCGCATATACATATTCACACGCTCACGCATACACATACACACATACACATACAGCGTCGTACTTCTCAAGCTTACGCATGCACATACACGCAAGGCATTGTACAGCACGAGCCATACACAATAAACTCGATTATTTACATTATTACCACCGCATTTTTTATAATCGAATCTGTATCATTCCTCTCCGCATGAAAGAGCGAGCGCGGCCGGCTGCTTGATTGCACCGTGCCTGACGGCGCGAACTTTACACGCCGTGAACATCTTCAACTCAGTTTTTCATGAGAAATACGTGTGTACATGCCTGTGGTTGTTCTGGATCACCCTGTATTTTGGGTTGGAGAAAAAGTTCTGCGGAATTTTGTTAGCTTAAAATTATATACAGAATATATTTATTGCAAAATTTTCGACTATCTGACGTGAAAGCTTAAAGTTTTTTCTAAAAGTTTGTTTTTAAAAAATATTTCTACGACTTCTTGTTACCAAGTTACACGCTGATTAAATAAACGAGCATTCTGATTTTTATTGCTTATAAGTCCGTTAAAAATCATTGTACCGTAATTAATAAAACAGATTCTTAAAGTTAAAACGTTGCTCTATTAAGTGGTGTTATTGCCAAGTTTTTAAAAAATAGAATATACTTATGTAAAAAATAGAACATACTTATGTACATTAGAGTTAAAAATGTGACATTACTGTCCTTTTTTCCATTGCAATGGTTATACAGTGATGGGAGAAAGTTCGGCAACGGTCAAATATCTTGGAAAATAAT